AAAAAAAAAATAAAAAATAAAAAATAAAAAAAAAAAAAATAAAAAAACACATCATAGTAAAATTAATACCTTCTCAGCTTCGCATCGAAGCTAAAATAAAAAGAAAGGAAGTACTACTGGGGTTTGATGAGTGTGGAAATTGTTTATCGTTTTTTAATTACATTTAAAACATGTGCTAATAATTATACTACAAGAATGTTCTATGAAATAATATTTCGGATATAATCTTGAGAAATTTTTTTTTATAGAAAAATTTTGATGTATTATGAAAACAACGAAATACCTAGAATCCTATTATTCATAATAATTTTGTTAGTACGGAATCCAAAGGTCGTGCAATTGATTAAGACTCTTATATTGTTCCATATTGTTAAATTTTCGAATTTTTACATAACACGTTATTCCTCGCTCAGGCATGAATTTTGGAATGAAATTTAAATAATTATATCATTAATAATGTAAAAATTTATTGTGATAAAATAAAACTCCATATTAAAGAAAACTGATTATTTTTACTACAATTACTATGTATGCTTGTTGTAGATGTTTTCATGGACGATTGGAATAGTGAGTTTACCAGCTTATTTTTCGTGATAATTATTTGATATTTAAATAATAAAAATATTTATATTTTAGATGATAGTATTAAACCACATCCGTGGGACTATATTGGTAAAAAATCAATTTATATATACTTAGATATAATTTAAGAAAAACATTTTTATTCTACATCATTCATTTTTAGGTAATAGGGTAAATTGTCTTATTAATGAAAATCGAAGGGATATTAAACTTAAAAATTATGCAAAAACTTTATTATAATATAAATTAAATTCTAATTTAAATTAAATAAATTTGTATATTTATTAATAATTTCATCTATTCTTAAATATTAATACTTTTAACTATATTAAATTGAATCAGTTCAGCTTGTTCAAAAAAACTCTGAAAGTTCTGCAATAAAACGGAATTTAGGTTCTCAAATCATATTTAAATTATAACATAAATTTTTTAAATTTTCCATTAGTTATACAGCCAAAAATTAACAAAATTAATCAACTTACATGCTAGAGACTAAAAATTTGAAGTAATACCGACAGAGTACTTTTATTAAGGAGTGTTCCATAACTTGTCCAGTTATTCTAAATGTTTTAAAAATAAACAATGTATATTTATTAAATAAGAAATCAACATTTTGATACCAATTGACATAGAGGGAAGAAAATACTTCGGGTCTGGGTGATCTGAACAAAATTTTTTTCTCTCTTTGAGGATATCTATACGCTATACTATCAAATTTATTGCAATTTAAAAATAAATGCTAACATCTCATAAATTGATATTACATTGGTTATCGACCAGTCAAAGTTTTATTTAGAAGATTATATTTGTTATTTAACGTAAAAATTGGAGGCAGTGTTCTTAATAAAACACACTGAATCTCACACACATACATGTATTATATATATTAATATTATTTAATAATACGTATTTATTTTTAGACGAATTTGATAAACGGAAAAGTTCTGTAAAACAGAAAATAATTCTACTTTATTGGTGCTTGTATATCTTAGAAATAATATATATACCACGCATTTATTCAGAACAACAAGTTTGATGATAAGTATGATTACTAAGAGTTATTTTATATTAAAACAATATAAAACGATTATGTCACGTAACAATACCACAAAAGGGATATTCAATTAATTTTTTTAATGCAATTTTATAGAAAAATTTTGATTTAATATTTTACCTTTAAAAATTAACTATCACATCATTTTCATTAAAATATTTATATGGCACGCGAATATATCATGTGACGACAGTATTAAGTTAAAACTGAATTTAAGCTTCCAAATTAGAGCAAAATAGTTAAACCGGCATATAGAATTTAAAATCTCGTTTTAAGCTCTTCAAACTTTTATGTAATTATAAAATTATATTAAGCTTAATAAATGGAACTATTATATATGTTATGAAATAATTGTATATAATCTCAAAGGAAACATCATTTTGTTATTAATGATAAAATTAGAAGTTTAATTAATTTTTTTGTTATTATGTAACTAATAGTCATTAATTAACTACTTTTTTTCTTACTTTCAGGCAACTACTATTTGTTACATTTGTCATGACTTACATAATAAAATAGAATTACAAATTGTCAAGTTATAAATAGAGCAATTTAGTGACCAAAATTATAAGCTTTAATTCAAACTATAAATATAAAGAAAAAAGATTGTCTCTTAATATTAAATTAGTTATAATTATACAACTAAATATTGGACTTACATAATTTAAATAATTCATTTAAGATTATGTAATCACAACTCATATAGAATATTTAAAAATAAGTTAATTTTTTAATAAATAAATTCATTACTTACTTTTTGAAAATACATTATTATTTAAAATCAGTTATTTGACTAATACATCAGTTTTAACTAACCTTTGAAATAGTTTTATTTAAATATTCCATAAAAATTTTACATAAGGCTTGAACAATATTAAAGTTTGTTTCATACATTTCATTGAGTTTGTTTTCTGGATCTATACATTTAGTGGGAATGTATTTTAAAGATTTTGCTGATCCATGAAATTCATAGCATAATGTTTCATTCAATATGGTTTCAAGATTTTTTGTATTAATTCCTGCTCCTGGTACTATAATAAGCTTATTTTCTGTTTCCCTAACAAGTCTTTTAATAAGGTTAATACCTTCAAAAGCATTTGAATGCCTTCCACTTGTTAATAAACGCGTAAAACCGAGATTAGCTATTTCTTGAGCCATTAGTATAGGATCACCAACCGCTACATCAAATGCTCTATGAAAAGTTACAGGCAGTGGTGTAGCAGATGAAATGACTGAAGAACAAACTTTTTTATCTATAAACCCATTAGCAGTTAAAGCACCAAAAACAAAACCATCAGCTCCTGCTTCTTTAAGCATATTTAAATCTTCTAAGACTATTTTTAATTCAATTTCTGATATTTGAAAGTCATAACCACTCCTTGGTCTAAGCATAACAAAAACAGGAAGTGAGATAATTGATTTTATGGTTTTTAATAATCCTATAGATGGAGTTAAACCACCTTCATTTAAAGCACTACAAAGTTCTAATCTTTGAGCACCTCCATTGGCAGCATTTATTGCCGATTGTATATTATCCACACAAACTTCCATAATTTCTGAAAAAATAATTTCTACATGATTTTTCAATTAATTGCCTTATTTTGATCATGATATTAATTTTGAGATTTTGGATAGACAAATTTATGGATCTTTAGTTCTATTTAGATCACTTAACTATAGTTACAACACAGCAACTGAGATTAAAATATAGAAATCGTTGATATTATTAAACAACACACTGGGTACAGTAATATTATTTAAGATAACAGTTTAATGTATTTTTACTTATGTTAGTATAGTACAAGGTCAAAGGGACACATTCCTTTTACGATTATGTTGTTTTACTCAATGCAGCCTATTGTATACATGTTTACAGTTTAGTCGTAGTTTCACCGTCTATCGAGTAAAGTGACCCGTTGCCGTTGTACATCTCTTATATTATATGTTTTGACATTTTATATTAAATACTATTATATTACGAATAATTTCTAAATCTTTTAATTACATAACCTATNTATTACGAATAATTTCTAAATCTTTTAATTACATAACCTATCCCATTCAACAGGTTATGGGCAGAGTACCCAGTACTCAATATTTAGATGTTTTTTTAGTAATATAATTAATCGTGAAATTTAAAGTGGTTTCGCGTAGTAAGTGCGTCGATCGTGTTAAATATTATTGTAATTTTTTATTGTGTGCAGACAGTGTATAGGAAATTCGTTATCATGGAAAACGAATCTATAAAAATTAACAAACTAAACGGCAGTGAAAATTGGGCAAAATGGAAATTTCAAATGACGGTAATATTAAAATCATATGATGTGTTGTTCTCTGTAATAGATGGAAGTTATGAATATCCAATTCAAATTATAAAACATGATACAGAAACAGACACAGAGGCACAATTGCGTTTAGAACAAGTGCAGCAAAAATGGTTAATGACAGATGCTAAGGCTCAACGTTTTATAGTTATGTCAGTAGATGAGCAGTCATTAGATTATATAATGAACTGTGACACAGCAAAAGGTATGTGGAATAAATTACTGAGTGTATATGAACAAAAGTCTGATACATCAATTACATTGATTCAGCAAAAATTTTATAGTTATGTTATGGATAAAAATGATAATATGGCACAACATATATCAAAATTAGAAAACTTGAGTAAACAATTAAAACAGTTAGGTGAACCAATATCCGATTCAATGCTTATAACCAAAATTCTTATGACCTTGCCAGAAAATTATAAATATTTTTATAGTGCATGGGATTCTATATCATCTGAGAACAAAACATTGTTAAACTTGACATCCCGACTTATGGTAGAGGAAACAAGACAAAGTAATGGCCATGAAATCCAGAAAAATAATGGTGAAAATAGTGCATTTGCGGCGAAAAAATTGTTTAGAACGCAAAAACAAAAATATTCAAAATTTGGAAATAAACAAAATAATGATAGAAAACCAGGAATTTGCAATTTTTGTAAGAAACCAGGTCATTGGAAACGTAATTGCTGGATTTTGAAGAAAGAACAAGACGGAAAGAATAAAAACGAATCGAATTCTGGTAATGCACTAATAGGCGTTAATTCAATGGTGAGCAAAATTAGTGATTTTGATAAATGGTATGTGGACTCCGGTGCAAGTGATCACATGACCAGTAGAAGAGAGTGGTTCAGAACTTATGAGTCGTTCAAGATTCAGTTGCCAGTACGTATTGGTGATGGTAAATATATTATGGCTATTGGTAAAGGTAATATATATGTTCAAGCAAAAATTGGCGAAAAATGGGTTGACAGTTATTTGTCAAATGTTTTACATGTACCTGAACTCATAGTAAATTTGTTTTCATGTGGAGCGTTCCTTGATAAAGGTATAATAATGATAACAGACAAAAATGTTTGTACATTTAAAAGAGGAAATAGTACAGTTGCTGTTGGAATTCGTGAGAATAAATTGTTTTCGATGATTTTTAAAACAAGGATTTCGCAAGAGATAGATCAAGTGAATATTGCTGAAAAAATTCTTACATTACAACAGTGGCATGAAAAACTAGGTCATCAGAATGTTCAATATGTTAGAAATTACCTAATGCATATGGGTATTCAATTCACAGATATGGAAAACAAATTTTTCTGTGAAGCTTGCATTTATGGTAAACAACACAGAGAACCATTTACACTGAGCAGTACCAAAACAACAAAACCAGGTCAGATAATTCACAGTGATGTTTGTGGACCCATGGAAGAAAATTCTCTTGGTGGTAAAAGATACTTTGTTATATTCAAAGATGATTACTCTAAGTATACATATATATATTTTATGAAACAAAAATCAGAAGTAAAAGAGAAGTTTGAATTATTCTTAAATACAGTGAAAAATCAGTTAAATATATCAGTTCTTACTTTACGAAGTGATTGTGGTTTAGAATATAAGAATGATGAAGTCAAAGCTATTTTGAATAAATTTGGTATAAAACATGAGACCAGTGTACCATATACACCACAGCAAAATGGTAAAGCAGAAAGAACAATGCGTACAATAGTAGAAGCAGCTAGAACTATGTTATACAGTAAAAATTTGTCAAAAAATCTTTGGGCTGAAGCGGTAAATACAGCTGTATATGTATTGAATCGTACGTTAAATTCAGGTAACAAAGAAAAAACGCCCTATGAATTATGGTATAATAAAAGTCCCAATATAAGCAATTTTAAAGTATTTGGTAGTGAAGTTTATGTTCATATACCAAAAGAAAAACGTAGAAAATGGGATCAAAAAGGGAGAAAAGGAATATTTGTTGGGTATTCAGAAGNTAAACAGAAATAAATGAAAGAACTTTCAAGTAATGAGAGTGTTAAAAATTTTATAGAAAAAGTACACTATTGAAAGGTTGTCAGAGTTTACTGATACAAATACTAGTCAAGCTAAAATTAAATTAATAAAAAAAGATTAATAATGCTTACTTATTTTCTATTTTTTAATTATAATTACGTGTTATTATAAATATACAAAATACTTCAATCATTGAATGCTCAGAGTTTTTAATTTCTTAAATAGACCATTAATCTTGAATAAAAGTAAAATATTATTTTACAAATTGTAAAAGTATACATTAATAAAATTATATATCAGCTCTAAAATGTATTCTTTACCTTTTATTTTTTAATTATTACTACTTAGTAAAATTTCAAACTCTTATGACAAATACTTTCAGTACTGATACTGATAACTAACATTTGTTATCAGTATTCATATTATTTGGTTCGTTGATAAAAATAAAGAATTAAATTATACGCAAAGACTGTAGATAATAAAGATAATAAAATGCTCTAAATCGTCAAAAGTGGCGTGGGGAATAGATTCAATAGATCTTATAAACACATGACACATGAAATATTTATAAGATCTACGATAGAAGATTCCTATAGGAATTAATCTAAATTATTGGATATGCATGATGTTGACGAACTAGCTACAATTTGTATAGCAAGTGATGTTCTAGATGGTAGTTCATATTCTAAATCTATATCAGATTTCCTTGTCAATATTTCAGTGAAACTTCTTGATAAATGTTTGTTGATCGGTGTTACTGATAAGTTACCATCTAAATAGAAAATTATATATTATTATAAATATGTTATTTTCAAAGGAATAATAAAAGTATAAAAAAAAACATGAAAAATTAAAACTATAATTAAATAGTTTCTCAGTTACGCATCAAAGCTAATAGTTGAAATATAAATTGAAAACATATATTTTTTATAAATCCCACATAAAATTTCTTATGAACTTTTCAAATGTGGCTGTATTATTTCTGAAAAACCTGTAATACAGTTTGTAATTTTTAATACAATAAATAAAACATAAGAGTTCCTTTTTAATAACCATATATATCTATAATATTTTTTAAATTGCTTATTATAGTGTTATGTTAATTTGATAAATATTTAAATAAAGAATAACGAAAAAAAATTGTTTGCGCCTTACATTAAAAGCTATTTGACATTTTTGAGATTTGCTATTTAAGTCGTATGTGCAACAATTTTATTTAATTAATTTAACATTCACTTATAATGAATGATTTAATGTTTTAAACAATGATGATTATATTCTGCAATATTGCTTTACAATATATTGGTATTTTGTCAAGAAAAACATGATTATTCATATCAAATTCAATTTCTAAAAACCCAGCACAGGGGGGTCGCAGCACAGTGGTGCCGTGGTATAGTTGGATCAAGTATAATGATATCTGACAGTGATTAAAAACACTATAAAAAAAAAACGCTTCGATGCAAATCTTTAGATACTGTTTAATTTTAAAAAATTGGTGGACTATTCCAAAAGCTACATGACCTGCTAGTTCATTATTAATATCCTAATTAAGATAAAGTATGTAGAATGAAAAAGGGATTATTAAAAAATATTATTTCTCATAAAAAAATAATGTTGATCCATACACTTTTCAATATGTCATAGCATTATAAAGTTAAAAATGTAAAAAATAAAATCGAGAACTTTCACACAATAATAGCATTCGGTAGCCATTTTCACCGTGAAGATAAAATAAAGTCCGAAATTTTTTTTTACCATTATAAAGTATATTACATTAGCTTTAATTTAAGATATATATAAAAGTGTCAGACCTTCCGGAACACTTTCAAAAGTTACGTTGAAAAAGTTCTACTTTCTATATGCATTTTTATGTTTTGAATCCCCCCTGTATTTAGGGAAATGGTCCGATTTAAAAAAACAGTATGTCGAATGAAAGATCTATATAAATACTACTTCTCATAAAAAAATTGTAATGATTCATACATTTTTCAAAAAGTTATAGCATAATAAAGTTAAAAATGGAAAATACAAAATCGAAAATTTTCACACAAAAATAGCATTCGGTAGCCATTTTCACCATGAAGATAAGATAAAGTCCGAAATTTTTTTTTTTCATAATAAAGTATATTACATTAGCTTTAATTTAAGATATATATAAAAGTGTCAGACCTTCCGGAACATTTTCAAAAGTTAAGTTGAAAAAGTTAATTTTTTTTGAAAAAGTTGTCATTTTAAATCCCCCCTTGTGGACAGGTTAAGGGTTAAATTTATGAAAAAAATATACCAAATCAAAGGTAATGATATTACACATCTATATAAAAAAGAATTATATTGATATGTTCATTTTTAAAAAAGTTATGGCACTTTTAAGTACAAAAAATTGAAAAAATTTCGAAAATTAGCGATTTTTAAATTTGTAATTTTTTTGGAGGTTTCCCCCATTTACGGGGAACGAGGG